TTGGCGTCTCTGGGCCTCCTTGGGAGTCCAATTGGGACCCTTTTCGGGCTCTTTTGGGTGCTTCTTGGGGGCCTCTTGGGGCTTCTTGGGGGGCTCTTGGGGCCTCCTGGGAGCTTCTTGGGGCGCAACGCTAGACTTTTCGGATCGTGGTCCCCCTCTTGGGGCCATCTTGGGGCCCTCTTGGGCCGTCTTGGGCGCCTCTTGGGCCGTCTTGGGGCCCTCTTGGGCCGTTTTGGGGGCCTCGTGGGAGCCTCTTGGGTAGTTTTGGGGCGATCTTGGGGGCCTCTTGGGCCGTCGTCAACGCCGTGAAAGCCGAAAAGCCGTGCATGCTCAAAATGTACCTTTTCCAATCGGAAATCAATAATATTGGCCTCCTGGTGGCCTCTTGGGACGCCTCTTGGGGGCCTCTTGGGGCTTCTTCGGGGAGCTCTTTGGGCCTCCTGGGAGCATCTTGGGGCGAAAGGCTAGACGGTTCGGTTCGTGGTCCCCCTTTGGGGGCCGTCTTGGGGCCCTCTTGGGCCGTCTTGGGCGCCTCTTGGGCCGTCTCGGGGCCCTCTTGGGCCGTTTTGGGGGCTTCGTGGGAGCCTCTTGGGCAGTCTTGGGGCTGTCTTTGGGGCCTCCTGGGCCGTCGTCAACTCCGTGAAAGCCGAAAAGCCGTATATGCTAAACATGCACGTTTTCCGAACGAAAACACATGATTTTGGCTTCTTGGGGCCCTCTTGGGACGCCTCTTGGGCGCCTCTTGGGGCGCCTTGAAGGCCTCTTGGGACGTCTTGGGGCTGTCTTGGGCGGTCTTGGGCTCTTCTGGGACGGAAAAGGGGAGAACCCGAAAAACATACCAAAACCCGAAAGAAAACCCGAACACGGCAATTAGAACGGTCATTAGACCACCGCATCCGGGCCTCGCACACCCCCTAGACCCCCCCTTACGGGCTTCGCCCCAACTCAACGTCATCACTCGTACCTTTCTCTTTCCGTTACCTGGCCCGGCACAGAAACGGGAAGAGCGCTTCAGAAACAGGATCCGAAATTACTCGCACCACCGTTCGTACTAAGAGCCTTGGCGTTGAGAGCTTCTTACGTCACCCCTCGCTCTTGGGAGCCTTGGTGTTCAGAGATTGTTGCGTTGCCGCCCGTTCCTGAGCCTTGGATGGGCCTGGGTGTCAGGAACTTGTTACGTCAACGCTCTCTGCTGGGAGCCTTGGTCTTATCAGCTTGATTACGTCACCGTTCGCTCTTGGGAGCCTTGGTGTGAGGAGCTTTTTGCGTTACCGATCGCTCTTTATTGGAGTCTCTGGGCCTTCTTGGGAGTCCTATTGCGGCCCTTTTGGATCCCTTTTTGGGGCCTCTTGAGGGCCTCTTGGGGGCCTGCTCTTGGGGGCCTCTTGGGGCCTCTTGGGGGGCTCTTGGGCCTCCTGGGAGCTTCTTGGGGCGCAACGCTAGACTTCTCGGTTCATGGTCCCCCTTTGGGGGCCGTCTTGGGACCCTCTTGGGCCGTCTTGGGCGCCTCTTGGACCGTCTGGGGACCCGCTTGGGCCGTGTTGGGGCCTCTTGGGAGCCTCTTGGGCCGTCGCGGGGCGGTCTTGGGGGCCTCTTGGACCGTCTCCAAAAAAGCCGCATACGCTAAACATATACATTTTCCCATCGGGAATCAATGGTTTTGGCCTCCTGGTGGCCTCTTGGGACGCCTGTTGGTGGCCTCTTGGGGGCTTCTTGGGGGGCTCTTGGGGCCCCTGGGAGCTTCTTGGGGCGCAACGCTAGACTTTTCGGTTCGTGGTCCCCCTCTTGGGGCCATCTTGGGGCCCTCTTGGGCCGTCTTGGGCGCCTCTTGGGTTCTCTTGGGCCGTTTTGGGGGCCTCGTGGGAGCCTCTTAGGCCGTCTTGGAGCGGTTTGGGGGGCCTCTTGGGCCGTCGTCAACGCCGTGAAAGCCGAAAAGCCACATATGCAAAAAATGCAGTTTTCCAATGGGAAATCAATGATTTGGGCCTCCTGGAGCCTCTTGGGGGGCCTCTTGGGGGCTTCTTGGAGGGCTCTGGGGGCCTCCTGGGAGCGGCTTGAGCCGAAAGGCTAGACTTTTCGGTTCGTGGTCCCCCCCTTGGGGCCGTCTTGCGGCCCTCTTGAGCCGTCTTGGGCGCCTCTTGGGCCGTCTCGGGGCCCTCTCGGGCCGTTTGGGGGGCCTCTTGGGAGCCTTTTGGGCCGTCGTGAGGCGGTCTTTGGGGCCTCTTGGGCCGTCGTCGACGCCGTGAAGGCCGACGTCGTCGTCTACGCCGAAAAGTATGTTCTTGGTCTCTTGGGGCCCTCTTGGGACGCCCCTTGGGCGCCTCTTGGGGCGTCTTGGAGGCCTCCTGGGCCGTCTTGAGCGGTCTTTTGCTCTCTTGGAGCGCTCTTGGGCCGTCTTGGAGGTATCTTGGGCCGTCTTGGACCTCTCTCGGACCGTCTGGAGCGCCCAAGACGGCCCAAGAAGCGCCCAAGAGGCCTCCAAGACGCCCCGAGCGGCCATAAACACGCATCCCTCCGCCCCTCCCCATCCTCTGGACCCCTCCCTAGAGGGCTTCGCCCAAACACAACGTCAACACTTGTAACTCGCTCTTTCCGTTATCCGCCGCCTCCTGCCGACTCATCGCAGGGGTGCCTGGCGTGCCAAATCCTATTGGTTTTGGTTTTGGTTCTTTTCCCAAAAGAACTCCCCCTGGGGCTCCGGCGCGTCCCGCTGGCCACCCGGAAGGATGCCGAAAGATCTTCCAGAGGTGGTTGCAAAGGGTTTTTCCGTCCCAAATGGCTCCAAGATGCCCTCCAAGACGCCTCCAAAGACGGCCAAAATGGCCTCCAAGACGGCTAAGATGGCCCCAAGACGGCCCAAGTGGCCTCCACGACGTCCTCCAGGAAGGCCCGAATACGAGACCTATGTTGCTTCACATCACCAATTTGGCCCCTGCTGACTTTTTCAAAATAATATATTGGGATGAAACCCTGCCGCTGGATATATCGAGCACAGTTGATCACATCACAAACGCTCCTGCGAGCCCCCACCAAAATGGCAAGAAATGGTAAGCTCAGATCCGCATGGCTACATTGCAACCGAACCGCTTGACCACCATCTCGACCGAACTGGCGGAATTCGACCACGCGTCCGACAAAATGCGTTCGACGAGGGATGCGCTGCACAATGCCCCGGCCACGGGCAGCGCTACGAGGGAAAGCGGGCCCTTCGAGGTGTCACTTTCAGTGCCCCTGAAAGTGACACCTCCCAGGGCCCACTTAAAGAGCACCAGAAAGGCTCCAAGAAGGCCCCGAGAAGGCCCCAGGGCGGCACCAAGAGGGCCCCCAGAGGGACCCAAGAGAGGCCCCAAGAAGGGCCCAAGAGGGCCCTCCGCAGTGTCACTTTCAACTCCCGTGAAAATGACACCTCCCAGGGCCCACTTAGGGCCTCAGAAAAGCTCTAAGAAGGCCCTGAAAGGGCCACAGAGAGCCGCCCTGGGTTCAACTCCGCGTGGCGGAGTTGGAAGCGATAACTTCAATACCCTACTGGAGGCCTCTTAGGGGCCCTAAGACGGCACTGAAGAACCCCCTCGGGGCTTTTTCAAAAGCAGAGGAGGGCGCAAAAAGGGGCCTCAGTGAGCCCCTGGTCTAACTCCACCTGGCGGAATTGGAAGCGATATCGACCGGCGCCTTCATGGAGCCGCTCGGAGCTTCCAAGACGGCTCCAGAAGGCCCCAGGAGGGCCCCAAGAGGATCGAACGACGATTCCTGGAAGTGCACCAGTGAGACCCTTGTTGACCTCCGCCTGGCGGAGTTGGAAGCGACAATTTCCAGTGCCCTCTTGGGGCCTCTGGGGGGCCCCTCAGAAAGCTTTGGGGAGCACAGTGAAGGCCTTCGCAGGGCCGCGTGAGAGCCGTACCAGGGCCGCATGTGTGCGCGGATGGGGGCGACGAGTGCTGACGCTGACGAATATGAGAATGATGAGGGCGATCAAGGCTGGCCCGAAACAAATCCTGGCGCCATTGCAGGCCGACGATTATCGGCCACGCCGCCAGGACGACGCCAAGCAACAAAACGACACCAACCAACAAAACGACACCAACCAACAAACCAACAAATCGACACCGACCAACAAAAGGACACCAAGCAACAAAACGACACCAAGCAACAAAACGACACCAACCAACGAAACGACACCAACCAACAAAACGGCACGAATCAACAAAACGGCACTGACCAACCAAACGACAAATCACTTCACGACACCAATGAACAACGCGAAATCCACCGACCGCCAACCAAGCATAAAATCAACCGACACAACGAAACCAACCCATAGAGCCAGACCAACCACTGGATTCGTGAGTCGGGGTAGTCATGGAAGTGAGCCGCTGCAGCCCGCGGAAGCCATTAACAGTGACCAGAGCACCGCAATGCAGCAGCGTCCCCGGGCGGCGGCGGGAGTCTCGGATCTCCCGCGGGACTGGAGCGTAGCGAGTTCGTCCTGGGTCCGGTTTAGTGAAGTGAAGAATTTCGGGGTGCTTGCATGGCAAAAACCTTCACTTCACTAATCTGGGGCCCCTGGAGCCCCAGGGCGTTTCAGGTCCCCTCGCTGTCTGGGTAGTCCAGGGGGCGCAGTGGCGGCTTACCAGAGGCCCTGTTCCCTAGCCTCACTTGCTTTCACCCGTGGTGCTCGACGGCCGTCTCGGAGCTGTCTTGTGGCGGTCTGGGGCAATCCCGAAGCCTCTTGGAGCCATCCCAAGGCCCCAAGGCGCCACCAATGGGGGCCCCAAGAGAGCTCCCAGAGGGCCCCGAAAGGCCTACAACAGATTGCACGTTCGCGCGAATTCTTTGTACCACTTTGGGGGGTCCCTCTTGGGGCCCTCGGGGAACGTTCTTGGGGCCCTCCGAGGGCCCACTGGGGCCCCGGGAAGGCCCCAAGAACGCTCCCAGAGGGCCCCAAGAATGCTCCAAGAGGGCCCCAAGAGGACCCCCACAAGTGACAAAAACTATTTGCATGAGGGTGCAACTTACTCGGCGCCTCTTGGGGCGCTCTTGGAGCCGTGCTGGGCGCCACTCGTGGACGACATGGGCTGGGCGACGGCATGTGGACCCTGTCGCTTGGGCCATCGGGGGTGCTCCCCAATGGGGCCACGAAGCGTGTGAGCGTATGACGGAATGGGCTGGGCGGCGGCCTGTGGGCCCTGCCTGTGGGGCCGTCGGTGCAGCTCCCCGTGGGGCCACGGAACGTGCGAAACGTATGCCAAAATATGCTGGGCGGCGGCCTGGGAAACCTGCCGCTGGGACCTTTTTGTTGGTGGAGCTGCCTATGGGGGCACGAAATGTCTGAGGGTGTGTCAATGTGGCCTGGGCGACGGCATGTGGACCTTGCCGCCGGGACCTCCGATGCACTCCTCATGGGGACACGAAGCGTCTGAGGGGCGTGCCGACATGGGCTGGGCGGCGCACTAAGACCCCTGCCGATGGGGCCTTCGGTGGAACACCTCACAAGGCCGCGAGACTTGCGGGGGATGTGGCGAAGCAGAGACGCGGGGGAACAAGGGGGGTGTTTTGATGATGTTGATGAGGATGGTGGTGGTATTGATGATGGAGACGACGAGAATGCTGATGATGCTGATGATGATGGTGATGCCGACGATGACGATGGACGATGACGACGGGGACACGCGGAGAGCAGGGGCAGATACGCGAAGAGGGAGGACGAGGGAGGGGGCCGGAAGAAATGACGCGGGGCGGTGTATCTTCAAAACGAAGAACCAACACTGCAATATGGTAGGGAATTTCTGGACGACCCCCCCCCGTGGCGCGGTCAATGTCCGCGACAGCATCGCTGGCACTACGAACCAAATGTTCGAACTCTTCCTGCGACGTTACCCGCGGGGTGGATCAGCCAGGGATGGGGGGCCAAACCGCCCCAGCGCAAAGCAAATGTACAATCCTGAGAAACCCCAGCCCACATCAACCGATCCGCATTAAGCACGCAAGCCTTTGACGACCACAACGCACGTGACGTCGCATAACGCGACGCGCCATCGAAAACGTTCGACGCGCGCCTCGGAATGACATCGGGCTTCATGGAACGTCGAATGGAAAACATGAAAAACCGCCCTGTGGGCTCCGAGACCCAAAATTACTGATGTGAAAGATTTCGGGTCGTCGAGAAGAGGCCAAAATCATTGATTTTCCTCAGGTTGTTGAAGGATGTTGGTATTTGCGCCTTTTCGGCTTTCCGACGGCCCAACGGCCCAAGAGGCCCCCAAGGTCGCCCCAAGATCGCCCAAGAGGCCTCCAAGATGGCCCCATGACGGCCCAAGAGGCTCCCAAGACGGCCCCAAGAGGGCCCCAAGACGGGCCAAGAGACCTCCAAGACGCCCAAGATGGCCTCTTCGGCCCAGAGAGGCCCCCCAAACGGCTCCCGACGGCGTCAGACGTGCCAGGAACCCACCAAGATGGCCTAAGTTGGCTCGAAGCTGGCCCAAGACGGCCCAAGACGGCCCAAGGGCTCCAAGAGGCCTCCAGGAAGGCTTGTTTTAAGGATTTTGACATTTGCTTCTTTTCGGCTTTCCGACGGCCCGAGACGGCCCAAGAGCCCCCAAAGATCGCCCAAAGATCGCCCAAGAGGGCTCCAAGATGGCCCAGGAGGCCTTAAGACGCCCAAGATGGCCTCCAAGACGGCCCTGGAGCATTCCAAGAGGGCCCCGAGTCGGCCCAGAGAGACCCCCCAAACGGCTTCCAACGGCGTCAGGCGGGCCAGGAGCCCCCCAAGACGGCCGAAGATGGCCTTAAGATGGCCCAAGAGGCCTCCAAGAAGGCCTCCAGGAAGGCCCGAAAAGGCAAAAATCATTGATTTCCCAAGAGTTATTGAAGAATTGTGGCATTTGCTTCTTGCTCGGCCTTCCGACGGCTCGAGACGGCCCAAGTGCCCCCAAGATCGCACAAGACGGCCCCAAGCGACCCCCAAGACGGCCCAAGAGGCCTCCAAAACGCTCAAGATGGCCGCCAAGACGGCCCAAGAGCCCTCCAAGACGTCCTCCAAGAAGGCTCGAAGGGGTCAAAATGGCCTCCAGGCGGCCAAGATGACCTTCAAGATGCCCATGTTTCCCCGGAGGCTTTCCAAACCGATTCGGGGAACACATGATCCGATAGCTTGGCAGGTCTGGCCTCAACGTTCGGCAACATAGGCGCTTCCAAAAAGGCAGGGGGCGGCGGTGATTCGTCGTAGGCGTCTTCGATATATACTGCAAGAACCTATTGGATGTGGTCCAGGATCGCCCGTGGCCTACTTTGGCCTCCCATGGCCTCCCGTTGCCTCCAAGGGCCTGCTGTTGCCTGCCGACCCCCCCCGTCGCCTCCCGTTGCCTCCTGTGGCCTCCTATTGCCGTCCCTCTACCTATCCCTATCCCCATCCCTATCCCGATCCCTCTATTCCTATCCCTACATGCCTTTCCGTATTACTCTCCTCCCTGTCCTATCGTATATCCCCATCTCCATCCCGATCCCTGTATCCCGGTACCCCTGGCCATAGATTCCTATCCCTACCCCTATCACTGTATCCAGCCCCCACCCCATCGTGCCCCCCCCATCGTGCCCCCCACCCCCCTCGTGCCCGTGTAGAGCTGTTTGGAGTCTTGTTCCGCAGGGTTGCCGTTCCGACTTGACCAGGAAGTTGAGGCCCAACTCGGGGGACATACGATTGGGGGAGCTCATCTTCGATTGGGGTGCGTGCAAACAACCCCCCAGGGCCCCAGGGGTACATCCCGGAAGTCACGGATTTTCTGAGCGGCCAGCTGTTCGGCGGGGGACTCGGGGATTGGTGGAGGTAACCCGCCTGCGAGTACCCACGACAATAAGGCAAGAAGGACGGGGCGACGGCAACGAGTCGAGCGCCCGACAAGACTGCAACCGAATCGAAGGAGTCCATCTGGATCTCCTTCCTGAGCATCCACCCCCGCCCAGTCCTTGACGAAATACATGCGCGGCTGCGTAGGGATGTCCCCGTCGGCGAACAGGGCGTCGCTGCGCGTGAGGAAGAGCCTCCGGGGATGGCCGGATCTCCCGCGGGGCATCGCACTACGCACTGCTGGGACCCCAGCGGCCATCGAGAAACACGCAGCTGCCGAGCAGCCGAGGACGAGCCCCATCCGGCCCCACCGTCCATCGAGCAGACATTTTGGACGCCCGAAATGGGTACAATGCCCAACAACAAATGTTGACCCAAACCAAACGCGGCCGCTGTTGGGCAGGCGGCCGTTTGTCTCAAGTGGACACAGGCCGCGGCGGCGCGGACAGCGAGTCCTGTTCAAAATGAACAGGAACTGCTGGTGGGCATCGTACCCATTGCTCTGTATCCAGTCCCTTCGTGCTGAGCCATAGCCGCCACTTGTCCCCCTCCCCATTCCTGCTCCTCCTTATTGTCTTCCCTCCTGCGGCTCCTCCGCTCCCTTCGGCTTCTCTCCCCCCCTCACCGCTCCTCCCCGCCCTTCGCCTGCAGAGCGGGCCGCCCGCCCGGCTGCCCAAGCTGTGGCGTGGCGGTACCCCCCCCCCCACGGCCAGCGCCGAGAGCACGCCGCGGGCGGGCAGAAGCGGCGAGCAGGCGAGGGGCTCGGGCAGGCAGCTGGGGGGCTTGACGCACCACTGGATCGAATGCGCACAGAAGCAGTTGTGAACCTCATTGGCTTGTCCAAGGATGCCAGTTTCGATCGCAAGTTGAGAATGCGAACGAGGGGGAAGGAGGACCAGCAGCAGCAGCAGCAGCGGCAGCAGGCGCAGGAACAGCAGGCGCATCGCGAGGCCGTAGGAGGAGCCCACGCCGCCCGACCACCCGCGGCCGGCGCTGCGCAAAGCGCCATCGATTCACGCCTCCTCCGCGCTCGCGCACCGCCCCCTGCGTGGATGCAGAAGAGCAGCACCTCTCGAGCCACGCCCGCGAGCCGCGACGCCGCGAGCTCCTCTCTGCTCCCCTGCGCTGGTGACCCCCCCAGGGGCTTCTCGCCCGCACACTCAAGTCGGCCCTGTCCCTCTACGGGAGGGATACTCAAACATAATCCGACACTCATATGGGGACGATTTCGTGACGATTTGTTGGGACACTTTCTGATCGCGTTATGAATATATATATAGATAGATAGATAGATAGATAGATAGATAGATAGACAGATAGATATATAGACATATATAGATAGATAGATAGATAGATAGATAGATAGATAGATAGATAGATAGATAGATAGATAAATAGATAGATAGATAGATAGATAGATAGATCTATATAGATAGATATATAGATATATAGATAGATATATAGATAGACCGATAGATAGATAGATAGATAGATAGATAGATAGATAGATAGATAGATAGATATGTATATACTGTCGTCCAACATCCGCCTGTAGGAGGACATGCCCGACCTGACAGCACATCCGTGCCGCATCGGGCCCCGGGGGGGCCCCCCCGCCCCCCCGGCCCGCTCCCCGCAGGCGTTTGCGCCGGGCCGTGGCCGCGGGCACCCGGAGGCCAGGACACGAAGAGGGGAGGGCGAGGAGGAGCGAGGAGGGGGGGGGGGCGAGAGCGAGGAGGACGAGGAGGAGCGAGGAAGGGGTGGGCGAGAGCGAGGAGACGAGGAGGAGCGAGGAGCGAGGACGAGGAGGCGAGGAGGAGCGAGGAGCGAGGAGGAGCGAGGAGGCGAGGACGAGGAGGACGAGGAGGGGAGGACGAGGAGGAGCGAGGAGTGGACGGGCGAGAGCGAGGGGGGAGGGAGACGGCAAACCACGATGGGGACGAGGAGGAGTGGCCTGGCCACACGCCTCTGGCGCCCCGCGCGCCGCCGAGTGGCGCGCGACGCACGCGGCCATCCTCGCGCCCTCGCGGCCGTGGCCGTGGCAAATAGGACTGGTCCTAAAACCACCTCTTCCTCCTCCTCCTCCTCCTCCTCCTCCTCCTCTCCCTCCCTCCCTCCCTCCCTCCCTCCCTCCTCCCTCCCTCCCTCCCTCCCTCCCTCTCCCTCTCCTCCCTCCCTCCCCCCTCCCTCCCTCCCCTCTCCCTCCTGCTCCTCTCCTCTCCTCCTCCTCCTCCTCCTCCTCCTCCTTCGCTCCGCCTGCGCTGCGCCTGCGCCTGCTCCTCCTCCTCCTCCTCCTCCTCCTCCTCCTCCTCCTCCTCCTCCCTCCTCCCTCCTCTCCGTCCCCCCTCCTCCTCATTCCTCTCCTCGTCCCCCGCCCCTTGCCCCCGCCTCCTGCTCCCCCCCCTTCCCCCCCCCGTGCCCTTCCCCCTCCAGCATTTTCCCCCCCGGGGGTGAGGGTTCAAACCTTTGAGGGATGTCCGCAGCCAAGTGCAGCGAGCCCCAGCGGGAAACCCAGCGCCGACGCTCGGAGCCGATCGGACACGCAGGGGTGCCGTCCTTGTGTGGCCATCGGGGACGACAAGACCTGTCTGACCACGGGGAACCTCGGCCATGAACAGGTCTAAGACGAAGCCAGGGCGAGGATAACATCGGGCGCGGATGAATCGAGAATCTCCGAGATCCGGCGGCTCTGGAGGATGTCTCGGGCGCCGCGGCGCTCTGGCACGGATGAGTGTCCTCGTCCTGGCTCCGTCCGGAGGTCCCCCGACCTGCGCCCGAGGAGCGGCCGGGACACGAGAGCCCCATCCCTGGCCTGAAGTGTTGCACCGCCAAAACCTCAGGGCACACCACGGGTTTTGCGTGTTGCGCATCGGGGCGGCTCAGGTCCCCCGACCTTCGTTCTCTCCCTGCCCGTCTTGGGGCATCCTGCAGGCCATCGTGGGCCATCTGGGCTGTCTTGGAGGCGATTTGACCAACGAGGGGGGTGTGGATTTTACCAGGGAGGAGGAGGAGGAGGAGGGAGGAGGAGGGAGGAGGAGGAGGAGGAGGAGAGAGGAGGAGGAGGAGGAGGAGGAAGGAGGAGGAGGAGGAGGGAGGAGGAGGGAGGGAGGTGAGGGAGGGGAGGGAGGGAGGGAGGGAGGGCGGGATGGAAGGGAGGGGGAGGGAGGGAGGGAGTGAGGGGAGGGAGGGAGGGGAGGAGGAGGAGGGGAGGAGGGGATTTTGCCAGGAGGAGGAGGAGGGGAGGAGGAGGAAGGAGGAGGAGGCAGCAGGAGGAGGAGGAGGAGGAGGAGCCGCAGGAGGAGGAGGAGGAGGGGAGGAGGAGGAGGAGGAGCGAGGAGGAGGAGGAGGAGGAGCAGGAGGAGGAGGAGAGGAGGAGGAGGAGGGAGGAGGAGGGATTTTGCCAGGGAGGAGGAGGAGGCGCAGGCACCGCCGCGCCTCGGCGGGGGGCCCAGGGAGCAGCCAGCGGCGGACGCCAGCCCACACCCACGCGGCGCTGCGAGTGGGAGCTCGACCGCAGGACGCCCTCCACCAGGAAGCCCAGGCCCTGAGGCCCGAGGACGCACGAGACCTGAGGAGGAGAAGGCGGAGGAGGAGGAGGAAGAGGAGGAGGAAGAGGAGGAGGAGCAGGAGGAGCCCCTGGGCCCCGAGGAAGCCCAGCCCCTGAGGCCCGAGTCTTTTGGGCGTAGAGGCGTCACGCCTGCCATCACAAGACCATCGGAGCCTGGAGGCAAGCAAGCAGGAGACTTCTGGCTTCTTAGCACGGGCGCCTCCTCTGCAGCGGCGGCCGCGCTGCCGCTCGCGCGAGCCAGCCGCGGGCGCCGGGCGCCTCGCCACGGCCCTGTGGCAGATCTCCATCATGATCGTCTTGTTGACCTCCGCGTACCTCCGCGGGCAAGGGTCCAGGCGAGCCCAGAATCGAATCGACAAGTCGGATCGGCAATCGGCATGCATCGGCTCGACGGACATCGGCAGCCGAGTCGGGAGACGTCGCATCGGCAGACCTCGGCAGGCCAGTCTGGGCCTCGAGTGAGCCATCGGATCCCACGTCGGAATCCGAGATCGAATCGCATGTCCGGATCGGAATCCATCGCGATCGAGAAGGAGGAGGAGGTGGAGGAGGAGGAGGAGGAGGAGGAGGAGGAGGGAGAGGAGGAGGAGGAGGAGGAGGAGGAGGAGGAGGAGGAGGTGGAGCCAATCGAACCGAGCCGGCGGCACCGAAGTGAGCCCCGAGGGCCGGAGAGGGCGGCGGGGAGCGGCCACCGCGCCGGGGGCGCGCCCGGCACGCCGCACGCGCGCGATTTTATCACGAGGCCGCAGCACGGCGGGGTCGGAGCGGCCGGCTGTCGGAGGATCGCGCCGCAGCGCCGCAGCACCGCGCGAGCCTCGAGGCGTACCCCGAACTTCCGATGAACCAACCGGGGGGGGGACAGGCGCGAACACGCGGCGCGGCCAACCGCCCCCCGGCACCACCCCCGCGCCCCAGCGGGGAAGGGCACGAACCCCAGACCCCCCCTGGCACCCCCGCGGACGCGCCGCGGCCAACCCCCCTGGCACTCCAAGGGGGGGGGTCGATGATTCAGCGATCCAGAGTATGTTCCACGGGTGGAGTGCCTGAGGCGAACGGCGTCGGGAAGCGACGGCCGCTCGGCTCCCACGCTCGGCGAACACGCTTCTGAACCCAGTCCAAGCAGCAGGATCTAAGACTTCCTCTTCCAGCTCCTCCTCCTCCTCCCATTCCTCCTTCCTTCTTCTGCGGGAAGCAACGAAAGAACAGGCATAACGGTGGTTCCTGCGTGTGGAGGGGCATGTTCTAGGGTATGATTCACAAGGATGGCTTCCCAGCGGTGGAGGAGGAGGAGGAGAATGAGGAGAAGGAAGAGGAGGAGGAATAATAAAATAATACCAACAGTTACAATACTATAAACAAAAAAGATAATATGAAGCATCATCATAATACTAATAGTGGGAGTAATAATGACAACAGCACAAACAGCAAGCGCGGACTGCTTCAACATGTTGCGCTGGCTTGTAATGGTTGTTCGTTTGTTTGTTTGTTTCCATGGGGGGAATGATAGCTTCCCAGAAAACTCCCCCTTTCCCCTCCTCCCCTTCCTGCTCCAATCCAGTAGTAAAGCCACTGGAGACAAATCCCCCCATGGACTAGCTCCTTCACAGCCGCTGGCATGAAGAAGGAGTCTGTGGATACATTCCTGCCCATGACATCGGCCAGTGGCCAACAACTCTCTACCACACCTGACCGAGACCTTGAGGATGCGGCCTGAGCCGGGCAGACTGGAGGATTCTGCCCTCCCTGCAGCTGCACAGCCCCCTGCACGTGTCGAACGGCCGCCTCATCCTCAAGCACGTGTGTGGGATGCAGGGCTTTCCCCTTTGAGCTGAAACCTCCCTCCTTCTCCTAAGGGCTCACACGCTTCGCGCTGCGCGAGGCGCGAAGTGCGAATAACGTCGCGCTCTCGCGACGCCTCCCGGGGGAGACGAGGAGGAGGAGGAGGAGGAGGAGGAGGAGGAGGAGGAGGAATCGGAGCCGAACCGCGAAGCGCGGAGCGCGAATCACTTCGCGCTCTCGAGGGCGCCCTTGTTCTCTCTCTCCTCTCCCTTTTCCTGCCCGTCGCCCTCCGCTCCTCCTCCCCGCCCCCCCTCTCTCTCCGCCGCACCCGTCCGGCCCGCCTGCCGCACCGCCCCAGCGGCGGCGGGCCACCTCCGGAAAAGCGGGTGCGCCCGGATGGCGGGGATGTGCACCTCGGGTTCCGCGCGCGGGGAGGGAGGGAGACGGGGGAGATGGGTGGGGGGGAAGAAGTTACTGAGCATTTTCTTAGGGTAGAGGGCTCAGGGTGAAGTCCACGAGGGTCTTTGCACCTCGGAAGCCATCCGTCTTGTGATTCGAGCCTCGGAAATCCATCGGAACAGCATTTCAGATTTCACCCTCTGCCCTCCAACCAAAGAAACTGCTCGGAATTAGGGGTGAAGAGGAGGGGCATGGAGGGAGGGTTTGGGGAAGGGGGTGGGAGTGTAAGGGAGAACGAGAAGAGGGAGGGAGGGTGTGGGGCAAGAGAAGGGGGAGGGAGGGAAGGGGGTTTTGCGGGGGAAGGGGGGAGGGGGAAAAGGGGGAGGAGAGGGGTGAGGGAGAAACTAGGTGCGCTCGTGCCACATCTGACATTTTAGCCCTTCCACATCCCTTGCATTTGCGCTGAGTTATCTCTATCCGCAGACGTGCGTCATACCGGAAGTGGAACTCAAAGAAAAGACCCACTGTGCCATGCGCACTCGGAAACATGGAGCTGCGTACGTACATCGGAGAGAGAGGAGGAGGAGGAGGAGGAGGAGGAGGAGGAGGAGGAGGAGGGGAGGAGAAAGAGGAGGAGGAGGAGGAGGATAATGAGGAGGAGGAGGAGGAGGAGGAGGAGGAAGAGGAGGCGGAGGATGAGAAAGAGGAGCAGGAGCAAGAGCAGGAGCAGGAGCAGGAGCAGGAGGATAATGAGCGGGAAAAAAATGGAGGAGGATGAGGAAGGAGGAGGGCGAGGACCCACACTAGCAGCAGAAACTGGAGTGGAAGGAGCGGGAGGAGCAAGAACACCAGGGGAAGGTGGAGGAGAGGAAAGGATGGGGGCGAAGACGATGAGGAATGACCCGGATCCAAAAAACTGGCCCGCGCTGGGGCGACAACGCCACTCTGAACGACGGGAACAGAGCCGCGATCCTAAAATGAGGCCCGCGACAGCGGGACCACCACTTGGAAGGACACAGAACGCTCGGATGGGAAAAAACACAAATGACAAAAAAATAGCCTGACGAGGGACCCAACCATATGCAGGTGCGAGTACCGCAATAGTGATTCACTTTTTCGGTGGCGATCCTTATGAGGCAACGAACCGTGCTAGGGGTGTGCCGACATGAGTGGCGTGGTACACAACGCGAACGAAAACGATTGATCTGAGTACGTAGGGATACTGAGCGCGGGTGAATCTGCGCGCGTGCATCTGACTGTGAATGAATATGCGTGCGAGCGAGTCTACGTGCATGAATGCGAATATGACAAAGCCTGGTGCAATTGTGTATGACTCTCAATAGTTTGACAATGACTGCCTCTGAGTACTCGTGACGCTGGGCGTGGCCGCCGTGGCCGCCGCAAGGAGCTTCCCCGGGACTCCCCGACGGCATCGCCCGCGCGCCGCGACGCCAATGTCGGCGCTCCCCCCCGCGAGGATCGCGCCCGCTTCCTCCCCTTCCTTTACTCCCTCTTTGCCCGCGCACTCAAAAGTCCAAGGCTGCGGGCGCAGCGCAGCGCGGAGTCCCCGCGACGCGCGCAGGTCGCCCCGGAGGGGTCCCAGCGACGCGCGCGGGTCGTCCACTGCGCGGAGCAAAGAGAGCTAGCTGGCTGGCTGACAGCGGGCAAGGCCCTTGCCGCGGGGCAGAGCGACGACGGGCGAGCGAGGCGCTGGGCAGAACGCAGCACGGAGCCCCCGCGACGCGCGCAGGTCGCCCCGGAGGGGTCCCAGCGACGCGCGCGGGTCGCCCGCTGCGCGGAGCTAAGAGGGCTAGCTGGCTGGCTGGGACCTGCGGTGGCGCTCCATATGGGGCCACGTAACGCTGTACTGGTCAAGGAAGACGCATGCGGACTGCGCCACGGGGACCTTCGGTGGAGTCCCCTATGGCGCCACGAAACGTGTGAGAGGAGTGCCGAAATGAATGGCGGGGACGCATGCGGACTGTGCCACTGGGACCTTCGGCGGAGCTCCTATGGGGCCACGAAACGTGTGAGGGGTGTGCCGAAATGAATGGCGGGGACGCATGCGGACTGCGCCACGGGGACCGTCGGTGGAGTTCCTGTGGGGCCACGAAACGTGTGAGGGGTGTGCCGAAATAGGTGGCGGGAACGCCTGCGGACTGTGCCACTGGGACCTTCGGCGGAGCTCCTGCGGGGCCACGAAACGTGTGAGGGATGAGCCGACATGAATGGCGGGAACGCATGCGGACTGTGCCACGGGGGCCTTCGGCGGAGCTCTTATGGGGCCACGAAACGTGTGAGGGGTGTGCCGAAATGGATGGCGGGCGGGGACGCATGCGGACTGTGCCACCGGGACCTTCGGCGGAGCTCCTATGGGGCCACGAAACGTGTCACGGGTGGGCCGACATGAATGGCGGAGACGCATGCGGACTGTGCCACCGGGACCTTCGGCGGAGCTCCTATGGGGCCACGAAACGTTGTGAGGGGTGTGCCGAAATGAGCGGCGGGGACGCATGCGGACTGTGCCAATGGGACCTTCGGCGGAGCTCCTGTGGGGTCACGAAACGTGTGAGGGGTGTGCCGACATGATTGGCGGGGACGCATGCGGACTGTTCCACTGGAACCTTCGGCGGAGCCCCTATGGGGCCACGAAACGTGTGAGGGGTGGGCCGACATGAATGTGCGGGACGCACGCGGACTGTGCCACTGGGACCTTCGGCAAAGCTTCAATGGGGCCACGAAACGTGTGAGGGGTGTCCCGAAATTACACACCCACAAGGACCTTCGGTGGAGCTCCCTATGGGGCCACGAAACGTGTGAGGGGTGGGCCGAAATGGATGTGCGGGACGCATGCGCACACACCCACTGAGACCTTCGGTGGAGCTCCCTATGGGGCCACGAAACGTGTGAGGGGTGTGCCAAAATGGGTGTGCGGGACGCATGCGGGCACACCCACTGGGACCTTCGGTGGAGCTCCCTATGGGGCCACGAAACGTGTGAGGGGTGTGCCGAAATGGGTGTGCGGGACGCATGCGGGCACGTGTGACCCGGGACATGCGGGGGACCTTCGGTGGAGCTCCCTATGGGGCCACGAAACGTGTGAGGGGTGTGCCGAAATGGGTGTGCGGGACGCATGCGGGCACACCCACTGGGACCTTCGGTGGAGCTCCTATGGGGCCACGAAACGTGTGAGGGATGTGCCGAAATGGGTGTGCGGGACGCATGCGGGCACACCACTGGGACCTTCGGTTGGGCTCCCTATGGGGCCGCGGAACGTGTGAGGGATGTGCCGAAATGGGTGTGCGGGACGCATGCGGGCACACCCACGGGACCTTCGGTGGAGCTCCTATGGGGTCCGAACGTGTGAGGGTGTACCAAATTGGTTGCGGGACGCATGCGGCACACCCAGTGGGACTTCGGTGGAGCTCCTATGGGGCCACGAAACGTGTGAAGGGTGTGCCGAAATGGGTGTGCGGGACGCATGCGGGCACACCCACTGGGACCTCGGTGGAGCTCCCTATGGGGCCAGGAACGTGTGAGGGGTGTGCCGAAATGGTGTGCGGGACGCATGCGGGCACACCCACTGGGCCTTCGGTGGAGCTCCCCCATGGGGCCACGAACGTGTGAGGGGTGTGCCGAAATGGGTGTGCGGGACGCATGCGGCACACCCCCTGGGCCTTCGGTGGAGCCCCTTGGGGCACGAACGTGTGAGGGTGTGGCCGAAAGTGTGTGCGGGACGGCATGCGGGACACCCCTGGTACCTTCGTGGAGCCCCTATGGGCCACGAAACGTGTGAAGGGTGGTGCCGAATGAGTGTGCGGGACGCATGCGGGCACACCCACTGGGACCTTCGGTGGAGCTCCCTATGGGGCCACGAAACGTGTGAGGGGTGTGCCGAAATGTGTGTGCGGGACGCATGCGGGCACACCCACTGGGACCTTCGGTGGAGCTCCCTATGGGGCCACGAAACGTGTGAGGGATGTGCCGAAATGGGTGTGCGGGACGCATGCGGGCACACCCACTGGGACCTTCGGTGGAGCTCCCTATGGGGCCACGAAACGTGTGAGGGGTGTGCCAAAATGGGTGTGCGGGACGCATGCGGGCACACCCACAAGGACCTTCGGTGGACCTCCCTATGGGGCCACGAAACGTGTGAGGTGTGTGCCGAAATGTGTGTGCGGGACGCATGCGGGCACACCCACTGGGACCTTCGGTGGAGCCCCCTATGGGGCCACGAAACGTATGAGGGGTGTGCCGAAGTGGGTGTGCGGGACGCATGCGGGCACACCCACTGGGACCTTTTGTGGAGCTCCTTATGGGGCCACGAAACGTGTGAGGGGTGTGCCGAAATGGGTGATGACGATGATGATGGTGGGAGGAGGAGGAGGAGGAGGAGGAGGAAGAGGAGGAGGAGGAGGAGGAGGAGAGGAGGAGGAGATGAGGAGGAGAGGAGACGCGGGCCACCGTCTCTTCAAAACGAGGACCCAACACCGCAGGATGGTTGGGAACAAAGAAACAACCCCAGAAGAGCTGGGGTCGCGGGTCTGTGTGGGGGGGGCCCGGGTCAGAGCACCGCACACACACACACAGACACAGCGGGGTCCCGGCGGGCCCCAGCGAGGGTCGCCAGCGGGCGTGCCCTGGGAGATCCCGCCCTCAGGGTCGGCAGCGCCGGCCGTAAGGCCTTCGCGCTACAAGTTTGTGTGTTTTTTTATCCGGGGGCCATCCGGCGTGAAACACCACACACGGGAGAAGGCGCGCGAACCTCGGCACGTCTGCGGGGGAGAGATGAGGATAGCATTCGTATTGCATAGCTGTGGAGGGGGGAGGGAGGGCGCAGCAGGGGAGAGGACGAACTCACTCGGCAATCAGACGGAGCTAATGCCTGAATATCGAAGCAGTCAAGAAGCATCATCCTCGCGATGAGGCGTCGCGTCACCCACTCCCCTCCTCGAGCGTAGCCGAGGCGGTCCTCCTCCTCCTCCTCCTCCTCCTCCTCCTCCTCCTCCTCTTCGTCCTCCTCCTCCTCCTCCTCCTCCTCCTCCTCCTCGCGAATGCGCGCCGCGACTTTCCTGCCCACGTGGCCGTGCGGCCGCGCGCCTCCGGGAGGGGGGGAAGTGGCGGAGGCGCGCGGCAAGAGAGCGGGGGCCCGCGCACGGGCGACCAGGCCGGGGTCCGCCGCGCGGACGTGCGGGGGGTGGCCCAGCGGCGCCGCGGCTGGCAGCTTTAGGTCGGGCCTCCCACGGGCGGGTTTCGAAGACAAATTTCCACGACCATCAACCGATGCTCAACAAGATGCACCACCAAGAGAAACATCGGGCAATGCTCAACGATATTCAAGAATCATACTGGTAAACAGTACTCAATGCTCAAACAACCACAAAAATCAAACAAACAACAACAATAGTCAAAATGGCACGACACATCGCCACTAGACTGTTTTCTCACGATTCTTGAAGATTCCCCCTGCGGAGGGACATGCCCGACTTGATGGTAGCTTGCTATCGCTCAGGCTCCATTCTACGAGAATGGTCCTCAATGCTCCTCGCCGAGGAACAAGCGCACACGTCCGAGCGATGCCAAGGTGAGGCCCCGGGTGGCGCGAGGACAGCCGCCCAAGGTGGTCCCAGCTGGCCTCAGCAGGCCCCTCGCATGGTCCCAGCTGGCCCCAACAGGCCCCCCGATCAGTCTGGGGGCGGTCCCAACATCCCGGCGCCGCCTCTGGCGGCTCCCCTAGGGCGCTCCGCGCCCCAGGGTTGAGGTGTGCAGGTCGCACTGCTCGGGGGGACTGTTGAAGCCAGCTGGGACCACTCGGGTGGCCTGTGGAGGCCAGCTGGGACTACCTGGGGAGGCTGGCAGCGCGCGGCCCGGAGCCGTAGCAGCCGCAGAGCCCTGGCTCAACCCTGAGATCCAGGGGTTACGCTTCTGTCGATCACGGGCGCGCTCGCCGGGTTTGGGGCCCCAGGACCATCACCGATCGATGCGGCTCCAACGATGCCGCAGAACGATGGGGTCTAAGGCTTCGGTCGTGACACGTGGCAATGTTGCAATTGTTCGCAACGTCGGATCTCAGGGAAGCTCCTGCTAGCTCAAACGTTGAGGTGTAGTCCCGCGCTTGAGGCCTCCGTGCGAGGCCGCACACAGTGGTGGGTCTCTGCACCAGCGCATCGGAAAGGAGCAGATCGGAGTGAACTGATGCGGAAAAAAACGTCATCTTAGTTGACGCTCACTGCAAGGGCGGGGGGACGCCGGCGAAACGCCCACGCCAGGCCCCACGGGGGGAGTGGCGGCGACAAGGGGGGGGGGCGCGGGCGAACAGGGGGCAGGAAGAGGGGGGGAGGAGATGGGAGGGAAGGCAATGGGGGGAGGAGGGAGGGACGAGGGGGGCGGGTAGGGGGGGCGGAGAGAGGAGCAGGAAGCAAGGATGGGGAGGGGAGGGGAGGAGGGAGGGGGTCGGTCGGACTCGGCGTTGCGGCAGTCTGCGCGCCCTCAGGCTGAAGGCTCCCGCCCCGAAAACCAAGGGTGGGGGTACACCAGCATGAGGTCGGGCATGTCCTCCAACGGGCAGATGTTAGACACAGAAATGCCAACAGATGCTCAAACATTAAAAAGAATAGAAAAATCGTCCCGAGACTATTTTTTGCTGTTTTTGGATATTCTACCCTGTGGAGAGACACGCCCGACTTGACCGCTAGCAGGCACCGCCACCCTCCCCAGCGCCCCGAGCCCCAGGCAGCCCCAGCGCGAAGGACCGAGAGGACGGCGGACGGCGGACGGCGCCAGAAGCGGCAGCGCGGAAGACACAGGGGAACCGTGCAGTCGGCCCGGGGGGGGAGAGGAGAAGAGAAGCGCAGCCATCGAAAATGCAGTAATCCGCCGGCCCCCTTGTGGGGCCACCAGGCTGCGAGACGCGTGATTCGCAGTTTCCTGTACCAGTTGTAGCTTGTAGTTTCCAGTGTTACAGTTCTGCTTCTTGCTGGTTACTGTAACTAGTTGACTTCTTGCTGGTTACTGTAACTAGTTGATTGACCGCGCGAGGGGGGGGGAGGCCCAAACGGGATTTTTAGCACCCCCTGGGCGCGTTGTCTGAATTGCTGGGGGGGCTCGAAATCGACACCCCTCACGCAGATCCGCGGGGTCAGGGTCCAAAAACACAGTGGATTTGCTACATTTCTGAAATTCGGTGCCACCTCTCACGCAGATCCGCGGGGTCAGGGTCCGAAAACACAAGGGAGTTGCTACATTTCTGAAATTCGGTGCCACCCCTCACGCAGATCCGCGGGGTCAGGGTCCAAAAACATAGGGGATTTGCGACATTTCTGAAATTCGGTGCAACCCCTCACGCAGATCCGCGGGGTCAGGGTCCAAAAACACAAGGGATTTGCCACATTTCTGAAATTCGGTGCCACCCCTCACGCAGATCCGCGGGGTCAGGGTCCAAAAACACAAAGGATTTGCCACATTTCTGAAATTCGAACCCATCACGCACATCCATCGCAAGGCGTGGTAACCCAAACTGCGAGAACTCCCTCGGCCCTTTAATCGCAAGGTGTGGTAACCAAGCCCTTAAACCATACACGTCTTACCAATCGCCAGGTGTGGTAACCCCTCTTGTGATCAGTTTGTTTTGCTGATTGCGACTCGGCTTCGCATGAAGTTTCGATACTGCTTCACGACAGCGCCAAGGCCTCATGACTTAGCTCTTCCATGGCCCATTCTCCGAGAGAGGGGGCCAGCGGCAGGGGGCGAAGCCCTTACGGATATTACCGCCAGCGCGCGCTACAATCTGGAAAGTCACCACCAGTGGAGGATCAGCACCTTACTTGGCAACAGTCGGTGGCATGGGAAGCGAACCTCGAAGAGGAGGGGGGTGCAAATCATGACCGGCGGCATGTGCGCGGCCCAGCGGGGGGGCCAGGGACGTCATGAAATAAGAAGAGGCTCCATGAAATCTGGCGAAATATCATGGCCCACGCCATGATATACACCCCCCCCCCTAGTCATCACCCCCCTCTTTTCCGCCCCCGAGAACCGTACGGACTTCGGCGGATGGGCCGGGGCACCCAAATGGTCCTCAGCAAGCCCGGCAGGACAGCGAAGCATGTAGCCGTATCGTAGATCACCAAGGCTGGCTCGTCTCATCGCCGTGCCACTCGGTCTTCGGACTAGGCACCAATCCGTATGTCGAGAAGACAAGGAGAAGCGGCGAAACCGGATGCCGCCACACGGACGAACGGTCGGCAAACGTGGTGCGATGTATGTTCTTCGAAGACCACACCCTAATATACTTGTTTTTTGGTCGCGGCCGCGGGCGAGAGCGCAAGCGGCGAGTCGTAAGTCCGGGGCGCGGGCCTACTAATTAAAACAGGAGCAAGCTAGGGCGGCGTAACCTAAACAACTAAACAACTAGCTGCCTAAGCGTCGCCTAAGCAAACACCCTAACAGACGCGAACTGTCACGAATCGTGTGTCGTACAGGGCCAGAGGCAGTGTCATGATCGCTCTTCGGTGCACGCTCTGAGGCAACCAACCGCGTGCGGGCACCGCTCCACTGCATCAAGATGTTAGTCAACAGGCCCACCCCATATCTTACGATGCTGGCCAACTGCGAAATCACAGCAAGCTCCAGAATGCATCGAACAAACACCCAGGACGACGGAGTGAGGAGACTTGGTGGTCTGCAGCACGGTAGCCTACCCGTGTGGCGCCCACGGGAAGACGGGAGGACCGCTGTTATTGCCATTTTCCGCCCGCAACTACTGCGCGGCGAAAGTCAGAGAGGATGGGGATGACAAGAATGAGGATCACATTCGCCCTAGAAACCTTGACCAACACCCCACAAAAACAACAGCCGCACCAGACAAAGTCAGCCAAGTACGACGCAGGGCGCGCCCCCACTAGGTCCCAGCACCGAACCCACGAGGTCCAGGACATGGGTGATGATGATGATGGCGTAGAATATCCGCCGCTCTGCGGTTGATCGGGAGTTTCTGTATATATAGAAGAAGGGGCGCGCGCTTCTGGGCGAGAGGGAAACGACCGAGAGAAGAAGGGGCGGCCGCCCCACAGGACCTCTCCATGGTGCCGGAAACCCATCAGGGCTCCCTCAGGGTCCCTCCCCCAGGGCCGGGGCTCCCTCGCCTGCCCCCTCCCCCTCCCCCTCCTCCTCCTCCACCTCCTCCTCCTCCTCCTCCTCCTCCTCCTCCTCCTCCTCCTCCTCCTCCTCCTCCGACCGGAAACGGTGCCGGAGGCCGCTCTGGGCTCCTCTGGGCATCCCCCCCGGGGCCCGTTTTGTGAGGATGTCTCAGGCGAGGGCGCCGGTTTGGGATTCGTCACCGGACCCAGCGGATCCAGCGGATCCGTCCGGAAACGGTGCCGGAGGCCGCTCTGGGCTCCTCTGGGCATCCCCCCCGGGGCCCGTTTTGTGAGGATGTCTCAAGCGAGGGCGCCGGTTTGGGATTCGTCACAGGATCCAGCGGATCCAGCGGATCCGTCCGGAAACGGTGCCGGAGGCCGCTCTGGGCTCCTCTGGGCATCCCCCCGGGGCCCGTTTTGTGAGGATGTCTCAGGCGAGGGCGCCGGTTTGGGATTCGTCACCGGATCCAGCGGATCCAGCGGATCCACCGGATCTGTCCGGAAACGGTGCCGGAGGCCGCTCTGGGCTCCTCTGGGCACCTCCCCCGGGGCCGGTTTTGTGAGGATGTCTCAAGCGAGGGCGCCGGTTGGGATTCGTCACCGCGGATCCAGCGGATCCAGCGGATCCACCGGATCTGTCCGGAAACGGTGCCGGAGGCCGCTCTGGGCTCCTCTGGGCACCTCCCCCGGGGCCGGTTTTGTGAGGATGTCTCAAGCGAGGGCGCCGGTTTGGGATTCGTCGGCGGATCCACCGGATCCAGCGGATCTGTCCGGAAACGGTGCCGGAGGCCGTCTGGGCTCCTCTGGGCACCTCCCCCGGGGCCGGTTTTGTGAGGATGTCTCAAGCGAGGGCGCCGGTTTGGGATTCGTCGGCGGATCCACCGGATCAACGGAATACCCGGATCCGTCCGGAAACGGTGCCGGAGGCCGCTCTGGGCTCCTCCCCAGAGGGTTGTAGGTTCTAAATCGTAGAACGTGGAAAAAACACTCCACGCGAAGAGAAAATAGAACGTAGAAATTAGAACGTAGAACGTAGAAATTAGAACGTAGAACGTAGAACGTAGAACATGCACATGCCACTGAGATCGCACACAAAACGTAGATGTAGTAGCTCATTCCCTAATCGAATCCTTTCTTCTGTAGTTTTTCTCTCATGCAGCCATTTCGGCTCGAGGCCGAAAGGCCAGGACGGCCTCGAGGAGGCCAGGGCGGCCTCGAGGAGGCCAGGGCGGCCTCGAGGAGGCCCAGGAGAGGCCAGAGGAGGCCTAGGAGAGGCCAGAGGAGGGCCAGGAGGAGAGGCCAGAGGAGTGCCAGGAGGAGAGGCCAGGAGCCAGAGGCCAGGAGCCAGAGGCCAGGAGCCAGAGGCCAGAGGAGAGGCCAGGAGCCCAGAGGCCAGAGGAGAGGGCCAGCATGTCGAGAAAGCTAGGGGCAGAAAAAGAAGATGAAGCCGCGGAGCTCAAATCAGTGCTGCTGAAGCACATAAGACGCGCCGAAGACGTAGACTACTGCCTCGATCTCGAGGCCCGCGCCGTCGTCGTCGTCGTCGTCGTCGTCGTCGTCGTCGTCGTCGTCGTCGTCGTTATCGTGCACCCTCCCCCTCGACAATCTCCTCCTCCTTCTCCTTCTCCCCCTCCTCCCCCTTCTTCTTCTTCTTCTTCTCCTCCTCCTCCTCCTTCTCCTCCTCCTCCTCCTCCTCCTCCTCCTCCTCCTCCCTGCCCCCCTCCCGTGTCTCCCATTGCTCCTGCTCGTCCTCGTGCTCCTCCTCCTCCTCCTCCTCCTCCTCCTCCTGTTCCTCCTCCCGCTCCTTCCCCGATCCCTCCCCGCCGCCCCCTGCCGCAGGGGAGCGTTGATGCAGAGAAGCTGGTGAAGCAGGCTCCCTTGCTTAAGGGCGTCCGTGCGGTTATTAGTCCAGCTAGCACGGTGGCCAGAAAGAACTTGCAGTCTATATTACTTGCAGTGGCGGAGGACAGAGAGGAGCGCTGGAGGCTGGACGACACGAGGGAAAGCTGGGCAGAAGACGCCAGCAAGCAAATAATAAGAGGCTGTCGCCAGGCCCGCTGCTCGATGGCGGGGGTGATAGGGCAAGTAGGAGGCGGATTGGATAGCTGGCGGATGGCATGCAGGATGGACGAGGGAGGGAGGATGCGGTGGGTAGGGGGGATCGAGTAAAGAGGGGCCGATCGCCAGGATGCTCCCACGTGGGGCTGGCGGGTCCGAGCGATGCTCCGCCACATCAGCCAGATGGAGTTGAAAGTCAGGCGGCGCGGGGGGGGGGGAAGCGGGCGAGGGCGATGAGGAGGAGTCAGGGGTAAGGAGACGCCGCCTGACTGGTTCAAGGAGCACTTCCCCTCACTCCCCCCCCGTCGCGCAGGGGCAAAGGCAAGCCGCCCGACTGGTTCAAGGAGCACTTCCTCGAGGCCGCCAGGGATGAGGAGGATGGGGAGGGATCGGAAGGATGAGACGATCAGAATGAGAGAACGATGAGCATGAGAAGGATGAGGAGGATGGGAGTATGAGGCAGTGAGAGGTTACAGACGATCCTCTGCTTGCGTCCACCTCCCCACTCACCTCCCTGTTTGCCAACCGCCCTCGCCCCCATCCTTCGGACGGGAGGGCAGGAGCTTCGCAGTCTCGAGTGCGCCAGCGAGTATTCATACGAGTGGGACAAGGCCAAGCAGGACGGTTGGGGGTGGGGCCTCCTTCCCCTCCTCCCTCTCCTCCTCCTCCTCCTCCTCCTGCCCCTCCTCCTCACTCGGGCAAGGGAGGCTGCATGCAGGGTGAGACCGAAGAAGCCGCCTCAGTACGCGACGAAGCATTACGAGGATGAGGATGGGGATAAGGCACAGGCGGAGTGGGAGGACGGCACTGTGTGGACAGTAGCGGGCGTCTCGGCAACAGAGTGGCGGGAAGCAAAAGGAGAAAAAAAGAAAAAGGAGCCACTGTACTCTTATTCCACGGGGGACGAAACTTGGACCTTGACACGGTACACGAGGGATCAGGGGCAGAAACACTTCCTGGCGATCTGGAAAAACGCTTCCATGTTCGGTCAGTTGACGCTTCAGGATTATTTCGTGAATCCCGAGTCCAAGATGAGGCAGTGGGCCGAGTCAGTGTCCAAGGGAAGACTCACCAAGGAGGGGTTTGAGAAAGCAAAGGCCGAATACGCCAAAGAGATGAAGAAGGGCGCAGCCGTGATGAAGAGGCCCGCTGCCAAGAGGCCAGCTGCTTCAACCGCCGAGGGCGGCGACCCAGACGGTAGCGATGATGAAGATGGCGACGGACCGAAAAGGAAGCCAGCAACAACGGTGGTCAAACCCGATGACGAGGACAAGGCTGCAGTGGATGATTCGAGCGATGACGCTCCAGAACGCGACGGCGGCAGCAGTGAGGACGAAGACGACGAGCCAAAAATCGCGAGGAAGAGGCCGGCAGGATCAAGTGAGGGCGAGACTGAGGAGAATAAGGGCGAGGAGGAGGAGGACGGGGAGGAGGACGAGGGAATGCCGCCAGAGGAGAAGACACGCGGCAAACCCAAGGGCAAGGCAAAAGGAAAAGCAAAAGCAAAAGCAGGCGATCAGGCAAAGGCTCCGAAAAAGAGAAAGAAGGGCCCAGAGGGCGAGGAGGCGAAAGCAGGCGGCAGCGGCGACAGTCCAGAGAAGGCAGAGGAGGCAAAGAAGACGAGACCCGCAGAGAAAGAGCAGGATGGCGCCAAAAAGAGGAAGCTTGAAAAGAACGATTCTAGCGGTTCTTCCTGCAGCATGGGCAGCGGCTTGTTTTGATTGCTAGAAGCTGGGATGAGGAAGGAGAGATAGTGCGAAGGGGGTTGATGTGTGAAGCTTTTAGCGGCAAGTGGTCATCACAAAGGTTGCAAGCCATCGCATTGCTCTTGTTGAGCGGGAGCTCATGAGGAAGTTGAATCGAGGTGGAGTCTGAGACAGCAGAGGTTTGAGGACGAGGTAAGGAGGACGA